ATTTATATATATATAAACAGCAAAACACTTTTTATTTTTATATTTTTTATCTTTTAAGGTATCTTGAAGTACTTATACAACAATAGATAATCTTTTGTAATTAGATAGTATAGGACCTCATTAAGGGCGAAAATGAAAGCTGGATGTTAGCTAAAACAGAAACTAGATGTTATGAAAGTGAATTAGAGAGTGAAAACTACAGTTAAGTGACGGTCATTTTCCATGCATATCATAATGTTGTTGGCTTAGGAGACAGATAAACATGGCACTACTTTTTCATGGCTGTCCATGCATTCTTCCCCCCTTTTTTTTTTTTTTCTTTTTTTTTTTCTCTTTTCTGTAATTTTGATTATTAAATGTGGCTGTCTTTTGTTCTTCTGACGAACTCTGATTGAGGCTTCATTTAAAAAAAATTAAAAATAAAAATAAAAAGGTAGAATTGATTTGACAAGTTGGGCTACATAGCTTAGAGTTTTTTGTTTTGTCTTTATTTTAAGACAATATAGTTTCTTATCAACTGGGGTTCAGATAAAGGAGTGAAGAACTGAAAGATGTAAGGCCTTGCTTTTAATTTTTAATTTTTTTTGGTGGTTAATTGTTATCAGGTTAGTTTGTGTGGAGTTTGAAATTAATCTTTGGATAGTTTTATTAAAGATAAATTATCTATATAATAATTAAAAATTCATGAAAAATTATTTTTTTTATTAATTTTTTAAAATATCAAACAATGATTAATAATGTTATAATCGAATCACCTTACTAACTAAACTATAATTTTTAAGGTATATTTGTCTATCTTTAGGATCTATAATATATCTAATTAGAGGGAATCACATTCTTACAAAGAGGAAAGGAGTTTAAAAAAAGAAAAGAAAAAAAAAGTAAAAACCAGAAAAAGAGACGGTGAGTGTGAATTAATGAAGAACTGAAGATGCTCCTTTCCTGCTTGTGTTACTTAAAGTCAAAATCATTTCTTGATTTTTCAAAGATTTGGTAAAGCCTTGCTTTCAATTTTCTGCCGCAGAAGACTTTAACTAGATACTACTCCAAAGTCCAAAAGTTGCAAATTACTAACTCGTAAATTTTTATTCAGCTCTGAGAAATAAATTTGCTTTGTAACAAACTCCTTTTTGAGGTCTTAAGTTCGGCTTCTACTAAAAAAAAATAGAACTTCAAATTATATACGTATTATTATAAATTTGAATCATAAACAGTGAAAAAAGAATTGTTTTTTTCTTTTATCAATGATCTAAATAACTTAGCTGTTATCTACTTCCGCTGGAAATAGGATGTTTTGGGTTTAAGTCATATGGTACGCAGGTGAAATGAGATAAAAGATAAGAGATGGTTGTTTCTCATTGTGCAACAAAGATAAAAAAAAAAAATTGTTTCTAATTAGGTTACAAACTCAATTTGACTTATCTAAATGTAAACAATGAAAGGTATCCCTCACTAATATTATGTATCTTTACTAATTTAGTCACAAACTCTAGTGCTCTAGCTTAAGACTTTTTTTTTTTTTTTACCCCACCATGCTGTAGACTTTTGATTATGCATGAAGTTGAGGTATCCCTTTCTTTTAGAGAACTGACCACTCAGTAATATGACTATTTGAGTATGGTGAGCCACAGTAAACCCTAGACAAGGTCACAAGGCACGTTGGAACATCGCTATTGGTATACAACAAATTGTTGGGTCATATAAATTTTTAAATTTTATCTTTTACAATATTAATTTAATTTGATTTAATTGTTAAAAATAATTTAAAATTGTAGTTATTGATTGATAAATACTTCCTCTAGTTGAGTTTAATTGTTTTGATTTGATTTTTATATAAAATTTAATTAAATGACTTAATATAATAAATATATGATAATTGAAA